TTAGAGAACTTCCTGCTTCCTTGTTGCCAGAAGCCTCCCTCGTTCCGGGTAGGTGTGCAGGGCTGCACTCTGGACAGGGAGGCAAGGTCGGCCCGGCGGGACTCTGAGCAGGCAAAGCTTGTCAGTGCGTCGGGTTCGCCCCAGCTCTTCCACAACGCTTCACGCTCTGCTGAAGCAAACAGCTTTACTACAAACTTTACTCTTCTGACCATAGTACCCAGGAGAAGCAAATACAAGAATGTGTGCTACCTCAGCTTTTTTTTCTTCCCCTCTGAATTTGGTGGGTGAATTACCTGCTCTGTGGTTGAAATGCTAAGTGATGTAGCATGTGTTCCTAACCTGATCTGTATTTTGAACTGCTTTGTTTACTCGAATTCCTGTGTTATGGTTTTGGTTGGTTTTTTTGGTTTTGGTTGTTTTTTTTTTTTTTTTTTTAACTGAAGTGTTTTGGGCTAGAGAAAACTTTGGTCCTTTAGCTTATGAAAATCACTGCTTGTTTGTGCTCTAGAACAGTTGAAGTGGTTAAAAGGGGTAACTCTGTATGGACTTGTATTTTGAAACGACTGGAGACTGCAGTATTAAAGCTCATGTGTTTCAGCGTGTAAATTACGCTTAGTATTACTGAAGGGGGTTTTTGCGCAAATTTTCCACCAGGACTTATTACATTTAGTACTTGTCTTACATTTGCAATCCTACTTGTATGTGCTTTCCCTAGTTGAATTATTGATATACTCTATTTTTTCTGCTGTGTTAAAATACCTTATTTTTATCCTGAGTACTGATTTCTTGTTTCTCTGAGAGTAGCAGTACCATTTGAAGAGCTCTCGTCTTATGCACGTACCTCTGACAGTCCACTTTATGCTGATCTTTCTTGTCCTTGCTACTCATTTTTATAATTTTCATAAACTGCATGAAGAGCCTTTTCATAGTTATTAGTCCCTGTGATAGTTTTTAAAAAGCCTTCTCTCTGAAGGTTCTTCTACACTTCTTGTTTGCCTTTACATGGATAATATAAATCTAACTGCAATTTTTTCTGGAGGGTACTGAAAAACATATGAACCTAATAAGTGCTATTTCAGGGCAGAAATAAGTCTGTCACAGGGACCCCCAGTGAAAACTGGGGAGTGTAGAGAAGTGCACTGTAAATGGGTTTATTGTGATGATCTGGAAAGAGCTGTTGTCCACCCTTCTAAATAACAGCAGCAGTGAAATGATCTGCAATATTAACTTCATTGTGCCATTGCTTATCAAAACTGATACAATTCTGTTTCACAGAACAGCGTGATTCCAGTGCAAAACTGAAATCTGGTTAATTGGAAAATTCATCAAAATTAGCACATGTAGGAAGGGGAGATGTGGGACTAAGTTTTCTTGGGTTTGTGGGAGGGAGTTTTTTTGGTGTGGGCTTTGTTTTGGGGTTTTTTTAATGTATGGACTTCTACTTGGTGAAGTAGTGTTAGTCTTTCTGTGTGTGCAGGAGCTATGCTCTTACCAAAGAATAAGGTGTTCAGCTTCTTTTTTTCCTAATTTTGTGTTGGCTTACACTTACTAAAGGTTTAGCAGGTGCAGAATTTGTGAAACTTACAAGGGATATACATCAGGACTTTCCCTGATGTATACAAAACAGTTAGCTGTCCGGTCCAAATATGTGTGTGTTTCTGGCATAATAGGTATGCCTGGATTTCTTAATGTCTGACAAAGTAATGGCAAGTTCTTGTTTTAATGGCTTGTATAGACTTGTAGCAAAATAACTTGTGTGTGAGTGTTAATAGATGGGAGAGGGACTGAAGGTTTCCTGTTTCTCATGATGTTCAGATGCCTTGAAAAGTGCAGGTTTATAGAAGCTCCCGAAGCTGTTTTTAGATTCAAAAGAGAGCAGGGAAGAGGGAAAGTATCTGTTACATACTTCAGCTGAGAGTATAAAAGACACTGTCCAAACAAGTAACTTGTGGAGCATTTAAACAAATTAATGCTGAGCTTCTTTGATTAATCGCAGCGTTCTTGATATTACACAAGGAATCCTCCATCTGAAGTTACTGTTTTCATGGGGAAGGGAGGGAAATGTTTGTCCAGCTCAGTTATTCAGAATTTTAAAGGCATAATTGTCTTAAATGTGAAGATGAACATAAAAAATACAGATATTTTGCCTGTTTCCGAAGCTTGTCAGCCTCTTTAATTTTAATGTCTACTTTAAACTATGCAAGATATATATCTGCTGCAGGTAGTGGGCAAAATGAAACTGAGTTTCTGTGTTGGGTTATTTTTTCTTTCTGTTCTGAGTTTTAATATCAGATGTTACATACATAGTGCTTTCTGTTTCTTGGGAGACTCACCAGCAGCTTTCTCTCTTCCCACTTCAGGCTTCTCTAGCTAAGACTGAATCCTTGACAGTCCTGATCAGAACGTGGTTAGACTTTTGCCCACTTTAGGTTCTGTGTCCTGCTCACCTTTCTCTCCCTGCTTCAGCCCGGAGTGTCTTTACAGTAGTGATATTTACTTGAAAAAGCATGGTCATTGCAGCTGTTTACCTTCGTAGCCGGTGTTAGTGGTCATTGTCTTTTATGAAGACGTTTTTGGTGTTGAACTATTGGTTCTACTGGTGGTTACCGCACATTCTTTTGTGCTTTTATATGGAAAAACTGTGAACGGTTTTTGCTGGAAATGAAGTGAAAATGATAGAGTTCGTTAGTGTTCCTTCTCTGAACATGTTTTATATTTTGCTCTGCTAACTCAAAGCATATCATGCGTAGATAATAATGCGGAGTTTTTCTTTTGTAGTGTTTCATTGGCAAGCCACAATTATGGGACCTGTAAGTATTCTAATTCTTGTGATGTAATATTAAACTAGTAGTTCTTACTCAGGAGGAAACTGTGGGGTTTTTTGTTTTAACTCCCCTTATCAGGCTTTAGTTCTAGAAGTAGTAGCCCTCACAGTAACAAAATGAAGGAGGGGGGAAAAAAAAAGTCTGATGATGATTATTTTATTGCTGGAATCTGGTATGAGGACAGGTATTTCAGCTGAAAGGATCCCTAGAGCAATGTTACGCATTGTCAATTAATATGTAGAAACTTTGTATGCATTTAATGTTTTCTAAACCTTGAATCTGGCAAGAACTTTCTACTAGGAGCTGGTCCCAGTGTCAGGAGTTAGTTGGGATGCTTTTGTGTGGATCTTGGAACAGAAGAGGGAATCTTTATTTGGTCTAGTGTCCTGTACTGAGATGTTTAATTCTTTTAGGAATAGAAGGGAAAAAGTCACTGACATGTGAGGTTCCAGTTACGACTGGAGGAAAAAAGTCTATGCTAGATATTCCATAAGCATCTGAAACCTGAGTGTGACTTTTGCCTTGTTAGAGAAGGCAAATGTTTGTCTTTACTGAAAACATAACCTGCAAATACTTGACATCTGGAGTTCTCAGGGCTGGTTATGTATATTTAGAAAACAAAACCTTCTGTAACTTCAGACAGATATTGGATGCCAATAGACCTGCAGCCACAACATGATGCTTCTGGTGAGGCTACAGAGTAGGAACTGAATATCGGTGATGCTGAATTACGCTGACTTTATGTATAGCTACAAGTGTGGTTTGAGGAGATCGCTACGGAAAATGTGCTTATTAGAGGTTCACCTGACTGGAAAAGTGGCTCTCTATTCCAAAGCCCTGGTCGTCATTGATTGTAACTAGGTGCCTCAAAAAAGATAAAGTTGTTTAATAGCTGTATTTGTTCTTAAATGGCAAAGAATGTTCTGCACTACACTGAGTAAGATTTTATGTGGCTGGTGTCTGCATGGTCATAAGGTATTAAGTATCAGTTGAATGTAGATCGGGATTGTGATGTTTATCTTCCTCTTCTGATGTAATAATGTACAGCTCCTTTTTCCCCGAATGGTTTTTGTAGTGTCAGAAGGTCTGCATTCCTGTTTCCAGATTGGGCAGTATCCTGACGGAAGTGTGGTGTTAGTAGTTCTAGTGATACTGTGGTGTTGCTTAGTGCCTTTAATAGCAGATGAGGATTGTAGAACCAATCATCTGGCCTTCCACCTCTGCAACAGGATATTATACAGGCTGTGATTTTCTTAGATAGATGTTAAGAGAGTTTGCATTGGTTTAACACATTCTAAGAGGGGTTTCTGTAATTGCTAAAATACATTTCCAGAATATACGCGGTAACAGGGTTGCTTTCTGGCTCCTCGAGGCCTCACGTAGTATCTGTTGACAAGAGGTGGCAGCTTGATTGCTAGGTGTTCAGCAAAGGTTGGGTTAGAGTATAACCTGCATGTTTTCAGGTTTGAGTACCTTGTCTTGTGTTGCAGAATCTAATTTTCTGGTATTGAACTAAGTGAGATGTAGTTATTTCTTTATATTGGTGAAATGTTCTTGCAATTAATATGAAAATTTAATTGACAAATAATTGAGAAGTGTACTCTGTCTCAAGTTCATTTTCGCTAGCCCTGATTAATTAGGTAAGGTTAAACAATGAAATTGTTAGCTCTTCAGAAACTTAGTTGTAGTTTCAAGTAAAAACTTCCTTGATCTTTCTCCTGGTAACTAGTAACTTACGCAAGCCCTATTTAGTCACTCCATTTATTCTCTCCTTACTGTCAGCTTTTTTACTTCCACGTTGCTTTACTACTGGTAGTTAACGCCTGAATGAATTACACCCATAATTGTTGCCTTGGAGCAGGGAAGTGTAAAATACTCTTCCATACTAGATTACAGTGAATTTCTAATACAGAAAGGGAGGAAGAATTCATTTTAATCTTGATGGATTTTATTTTTGTTTGTTTGGTGGTGCTGGCAGGGGGTTTTGGTTTTGTTTGGGTTTTTTTTTGCAAGGAACAAGGAGTCAGCTGTGTATTCATAGGCTTTCTGCAGGGCTCAGCAATGCCTAAGCCAAGGGCAGAACTTAGGAGGGAATGGGAGGCCCTTAGAGCTGTCCACGGCCGCCTGTAAACTTGGGTGGTTGTAACAAATGAGCTCCCAACACAGAACTTGAGGATTTTGAACCTGACGGGACCCCAGCTCTGTTAACATTACTTCTTGGAGCTGTCTCAGAGGCATTTGGATACTTCAGTCAAGTTTTCCTGAGTGGGTTGCCAGAGAAGCTGTTTTCTATGAAGCGTTAGCTCAGAGAGGTCCATACAGAAAGTGACCTGTATCTGTTCTGTATTGCTTACCGTAGGAAGTAGTTACTGAATTCTGACTGCATCTCTGTTGTATTGGTGGATTAAAGAGTTCAGTTGTTTAAACAAATTTCCTCTCCATTTGTTTATTTATAAACAACACCTTCAGTGACATTTAGTCCTAAAGATCATAATGGGAGAATTATTTGTTTGCCTTGACAGAATGACAGTCCATATCAGGGTGGTGTATTCTTCTTGACAATTCACTTTCCTACAGACTACCCTTTCAAACCACCTAAGGTAAGTAGTGCTTTCTCGTTTGTGAAATTAGTGCTCTTCAAAGAAACTAGTACAGGACAGAAATTGTCAACACCTGTGTTGTAATACTGTGAAGTTCTCACTTATTTTCATGCATTCTCACAGTATATTAGATGGCTAGGTCCCTCTGACTACCACAAGAATGGGTGTGCTAGCATATATTTTAGGAGCGAATTTGTATATGTGAATTCTGATTGTGTTGGAATGATGTTTGGTTTTACTTCTGTTTTGCTTAATTGATAGGAAAACTCATTAGCTTTAGCATTCTTGCTGAGGGGACTGTTAGGTATTACAGTGTAGCTGTTTGGGTTGGTCTACAGGAATGTGACACAATGGATAGGGATCAACTTGCTGAGTGCCTAAAATGGTGAAGGTGGTATCTGTTAGAATTTGGCAGTAATTTTGAAATATGCTTTTTTGGTAGCTTTCTCAGCTGCTAGCGTTTTCTTCCAATTGTCAGTCAATAGGCAAGTGCAGACTTGGAGTGACCACAATGTTTGAAGTTCTTTAGCTCTGTAATAACAGTGTTACCGTGGTTCAGCCACTTCTGTTCAGTGTCTTCGTGATGCAGGCACCTGTGGTTAAAACACAGCCTCATACTTGCCCTCTCTGAAACAGAGTGCCTGGTAACTGGAAGCTGAGAGGTTGCAGCTTGGGTGCATTTCCATGAATTTGATGCAGTTTAACTGCTTAATCCTTTTCTTTTGGAGTAAATTGCGTTGACTAATAGCTTGACTGAGAAGAAAGGCTGACGTCATTGCCGTCATAGACCAAAACACACTCTGCATATTTTTTTTCTGTTGCAGGTTGCATTTACAACAAGAATCTATCATCCAAATATTAACAGTAATGGCAGCATTTGTCTTGATATTCTAAGATCACAGTGGTCTCCTGCTTTAACTATTTCTAAAGGTAACTTTCGTGAAGGAGAAACGTTTCCATCTTGTGTTGAATATAGTGCTTCTAGCGTTGATTGTCTTGAGTTCTTACTGTCTCTTGATTTCCCTTACTCATTCTAGGCTGTGTTTTGCTAATTTGATAATGTTATCTTCCTGCATTTTTAGTGGATATTTGTTTTTTCTAACACCTTCTGGTACATGGCTGTTTAAAGCCTTGCCTGGCCACTTACTTGCTTCAGTATTCTTAGCAGAGCTTACTAGCTTGGTCCCAGAGAAATCTGCCAGCGTTCAGACTGGAACAGGCCTCTGGCAGGGTGTTTGAGCTAAGGGTGAGAAACGGCTTGTTTGCAGCTGTGCATGTAGATACACACTTGCATTAATTTAAAGTCAGTTTTTAATAATGAAATCTGCATATTTTTTTGACTGAGTCTGTCTAGAAATGCATGCAGAGTTTTACTGGCATATCTGCGTGGTAGATGGATAAAAGAAAACCGTTACTGATACATGTTGCTTTCTGCCACTGCGCACTGGCATTGTATTACATTACTTCATGAACTAAACTTACTGATTCTATTTCAGGATAAATTGATGTTGTGCTGCAAGAGAAGCTTTGTGATTTTCCTCATTTTACTATAGTAAATAACAGCTAATTTTCAAATATTTTAGCAATGATTAAATTTTGTTTTGTGTCAAAGCCACTGGTGAATGTAGCTTCAAAAGATCCATCAGAGTGCTCCTTTGTCTATAGAACTTGTAATTCCTGTCTGTCCGAGGAGTTTGATTCAAATGTGGATTCCCTATGTTTTAATGCTGTCACTATTATTTTTCTTTCAAAGCTGTTGTGAGAGTAGAGGATGAAGTCCTCATAGCTGCCTACCACAGTGTTACTCCTTTATTTTAGAACATATGCGTAGTTCTATCAGTGCAGACCAGGTTATTGCTACCTTACATACAACAGAGAAAGAATTTGGTGTTATTTTTTTTTTTTTTTTAACGATTTGAAGAAGTTCTAGTTTGAGTGATTAAAACCATGGAATGTGCTGGTCATCTGAATACATAATAATGCGCTTTTGTTGGCTGCTACATTGTGTCATAGTGCGGGGGGACAACACTGCTGTTCTAGTGTATGCTTGCTGGCAGCTGTAAGTATTGGGAAATAGGCAACACATAGTTGTTACAAACTTTGAAGTCATTCTGGGCTTTTTATTTAGAGTGGGTTACAAATTTATTTTATGCATACAGCAGGAAAAGGCTTTTTAGGTTCTCTCCTGTGCCGGCATTGTACTAATGCAAAGATCTGTGTTCCGTTGTTTCTGATACAGTTGCTCCTGTTTTGCTATTGAGACTTTGTTTTTTGCAGTTCTCTTATCCATTTGTTCACTGTTATGTGATCCAAATCCAGATGACCCACTAGTGCCAGAGATTGCACGTATCTATAAAACAGACAGAGACAAGTAAGTACAGTTGCGTAACACTAATATTTTAACAAACTTTGTGAAGAGTGCTTTGTCAGACAGCAGTTGTGTTGAGTGAGTCAAAGAAGCACCTATTCTTGGTAGTGCATAATGTAAAAACAAAGGGCTTAGTATCTTTAAAGTTGTGGGTGAAGCAGACTCTCTTCTTCTCACATGGGTGGCAGTGCTTTAAAGTATGTATTGCCCAGTTTTTTCTTTCCTTGCATAAATAGAATATAGTTAGATCTTCATATTGAGGAAAAGATAGCTTTGTTATTTTGGTGGTTTCTTTTGGTAGCAGCTTGGCCTTTAATTTTGGTGCTTCCCTTGACAAAAGGAGTCATAACTCTTTTCCTGTCCATGTTCAAACAATTTTTTGTGTGTGTTAACATTTTGCACAGATAGAATTATATGAAGTAGACTTTGGTTTATATATATATTAATGCTGAATATACTTGTCCAATTAGGTACAATAGGTTAGCAAGAGAGTGGACAGAGAAATACGCTATGCTGTAGGGTAAGAATATCTGCACATTATGGTGCATTTAACAACATAGAAACTTGTCAGCACTTGGGTGCTGCATGCTCTAAGGCACTGGATTAACTAACAGATAATGGATGCGCCAGTTACTGAACCTGGATATTTAACAGCTTGATCTGTGGTTAGTGTGAAATGTATTGGCTAGTCACTATTTCTCACAGATACCGCTCTTGCATGGCCAAAAAAAAAAAGATAGTATGAAATAATTATTGAGTTTTGAGCCAGCTTGTCAGCTTGTTCTGGTAAGTATTTACCCAGATTTAGTCAGAATTTTGTTGAAAGTGATGCCCTGTAGTGAGACCTCATGCATAGACGTGAGTGAATTTAGATGATCTGTTATTCAGCAATGTCTGTCTTCTACATATGAACTAGGAAAATGTATGGGGATTGTGTTCTGCTTGTATAGTTGAAAATTAACTTCTTACTGACAAGCATGGCGTTAAGTAAAACTAATTGTCAGCTCAATTACTGTGGAAGTAGTGTACTTAAGTATTCTTTTAATGTCCTTTTTAAAAATTGTTTGAGCAGTATATTCATGTGGAAAGAAAAGACTAAGTGTGCAGAAATTCTTACTGTTGTTTTACTCTAAAGTGGAAAATTTGACACTCCGGATCCAATGATATTATTAACCAAGTACTCTTTACTTATGGCATGTTATACTCTGTAATCTTTGCCTAAGGACAATATTTAAACAGAATGCTCCCCTGCTTCTCCCAAACCCAGGTGGTCCCTATTCCTTTCCCTTCAGTAGTTCTTCACAACAGACTTTTAGCAAATCTGCTTGTCTTGAAGTGCTTCATAGAAATTAGAGAATATCTTAGTTAGCCGAGGGAGAGATTTGCTCAGTTTTTTCAGTTCAAGTGTATCTTAGCATAGAAAGAGACTTCTCTTAGTGTGAGAATAGGGAGATGGGGATAAAGTGATACTTAATCGTTGCCTGTTTAGGAAATTGTCATTTTCATGCTGACACCAATTCAATTCCTGTTTTTGTTTGCAGGTACAACAGAATATCTCGGGAATGGACTCAGAAGTATGCCATGTGATGCTACCTTAAAGTCAGAATAACCTGCATTATAGCTGGAATAAACTTTAAATTACTGTTCCTTTTTTGATTTTCTTATCCGGCTGCTCCCCTATCAGACCTCATCTTTTTTATTTTTTTTTGTTTACCTCCTTCCATTCATGCACATGCTCATCTGAGAAGACTTTAGTTCTTCCAGCTTTGGACAATAACTGCTTTTAGAATCTGTAAAGTAGTTACACAAGAACAATTGCCCAAGATTCAGAATTTTTTTTAATGGAGCATGTGTATTATGTGGCCAATGTCTTCATTCTAACTTGGTTATGAGATTAAAAACAAACATTCCTCACTGCTCTAACAGATACTGAAGATATCACCTGAAGGGGGGAGGGGAGATGGATGTTCAGTTTTCTGCCATCAAAGAAGTAACATTGCTGTAGCAACATCCATCTTGTTCCAAACCTTCCAGTGTTAGAGAACTGAGGTTTTATTATATGCTTTTGCTCATAACTGATGTGTCTGGAGAATTGGTACTGAATCTATAGCATCAGCAGAACAGAAAATGTGATGTATCTTATGCATGTCAATAAAGGAATGACCAGTTCTTGTTTTACAGAGAATGGAAATTGGAAGTCAAACATCCCTTGTATTCCAAAATAGGGTCTAAGAACATTTTTGTAATTCATTTAAATTTTGTTAGGAGGCTTGGAGCTATTAGTTAATCTGTCTTCCAAAACACTGTTTAATATAGCACTGAATAAATGATGCAAGTTGTCAATGGATGAGTGATCAACTAATAGCTCTACTAGTAATTGATTTATTTTCTTCAATAAAGTTGCATAAACCAATGAGTTAGCTGCCTGGATTAATCAATATGGGAAACAAAATCTTTTGTAAAAGCAAAGCTGGTTTTTGTATATACTGTTGGGATTTGCCTCATTGTTTAACATCAAATAATGATGTAAAGTTCTATAGAGTGAATCTTTTGCAATTTTCAGTTATAATGCTCAGTCTGTTGCAGGTTGACACATTGTTCGGCCTGATGTATGCAGAATTAATAAGCTAACAGAGTAGTGTAGCCTTAGCGGTGTGCTACACGTGGTGCTGGGAGCCCAGCGTTCAAGGATGGACTTGGGACCCAGCAGACCTGAAGTGGTGTATTGCGGAGATAACTTCCTGATGCACCTGCGTTTGCTGGCTGAGAACCTTTTTCTTCACCTTGTACGCTTGACAGCTGAAAGATCTTAATGTGGGAGTAATGATGAGGCAAAAAAATATAAAATAAAGTACTGTTTTGATGTGGGAATTGTCATGAGGCTGTGTTGAAGTGACTTTATGTGGGATGTTCGTTACCATTGAAAAGGACTTGTTCAGCCATGCTGCCATTTACATTGATGACTATTTTAATGCAACAGACACTTTCCTCATGTCAGGTGACTAAACGTGAATAAAGACTCATTGCTATTGGATTTTTGTTCTACAAGAAACATTGTCTTGTGCCATTAGTTTCTTTGCAGCAACAAGGGCATTATTAAACATCCAGCTCTCCTCCTTCCTGCCCTCTTCCTTCATATTTTTCCTTGTTTGATTTTTTTGGTCTCCATTCTTAACATCCATAGCTTCATTTTCTCTAGTCTTGTACTATCCCTTTATTGTGCATCTGTGACTTCGCACTGGCACCACTTTTGCACTGCTTATAGTTATGTACATTCTGATTCCTTGTCCGCACATGGATGTGGAAAGCTAGATGTAAAATAAATGTTAAACCTTAATTTTTATAAAAATTTGAATATGTAGTTTGGACATGGTTTGTTCTGGTTCTAAACTATGAGAGTGAACTTACTTTAAAGTCTAGCTGGCTTGAAATGTAAAAACCTGGGCTCTCTTTAACAGCGCATGCCTCGCTGAAATGACGTTCTGAAATTTGTTGGTGAAGCTGCAGTTCATGCAGTATTTCTGCTTTGCTAACCAAAGATTTTTGCTTACACCATTTTGACAGAAAGTTGGATATACTTAAAATACAGCTGCCAGTAGCATTACAACTGAGGTAAAAGTTTATATTGATAATCTTACAAATGTGTATTCTCACGTTTTTGGTAATTGTGTTAATTTGATGCTCTGTTACTTGGTCTTGGGAGTCATAGCCACTGAAATTAGTTATGTGATCAAGGAGAAAGATGTTTAGTGAGATGTAAGGCACTAGGCTTTGTAAAACTCAAGGGGATGTGGATGAGGCCAGGTCAGGGAAGAAGAGGAGAGTAAAAAAAACTACATGGAAAATGGAAATGTTGTGGGACCCCTGTATTTCTTTTGTACATCAGTAATGGTCCTTCTGTGATAATTTTCTGTAATTAGAAAGTCTATTTTTATGAAAGAATGATGAGTGAATTGTAGCTGTTACATATGCGTGCCAGAGCTCATGCCGAGACTGATCTTTGTGAAGTGGGGAATGGCAGGTGTCTTCTCCTTGAAGCAGCCTCAGTAGTGTCTCGCGCGGGCTTCCTGCAGCAGTGACATTTGGGCTTGCTGTTCAAGCAGGGGATGATGGGAGGAGCTGGTTAACATGGACTAAGAAGGAGACTATGGAAGATGCAAGAACTTTTACCAAAACAAGAAGCCTAATTAGTGATTACCTTAGTGAGTAATCTGCCTACCAAACCCACAGATAGTCTAAAAAGTATACAGTAGACGTTGATTATGAAACACATGGAAGGGAAAAAAGACTTTCAATTTGAACTTCGTGTGAAAAATGAAGACTTTGGAAAACACTGAAATGAGTCGTCCTGTCCAGCTCTGCTAAAAGACTTACTTCAGGCTGGTAAATGCAAGAATAGCTTTAGAACACAGGGGCCAACTCCATCCTAAAAGTCTTGGATTGAACAAAATATTTTTTTTTTTTTCCAGTGGCTTTTATTTGAGAGTATTTATCAAGAACAAAGTGTCAAGCTAAGGCACTTTAACAAACATGTAACAAGGAAAGAAACTTACACATCAGTGCTGTTTCTGGAGTATTTTTTTAAAGTTTTCTCACTGTGTTTAAACAGGGTTTGAATTTGACAACATGATTCCAGTCAGCATATTTAAATTTCACTTGAAAAAACTTCCAGTGCATTTAAGCAGGTTTTTAAATCTTTTCAGGATGCAGAAAAAACTTGATCTGTAGCATTGGTTAGGGATATTAGTGTTTTTTTTTTTTCTTTCTCTGTCTGCTGATGCACACAGCATCTTCTGTATTGGTTGAAAAATGAGTAAAACACATTTTTATATGTGTGTGTGAAACCATTCTGCTCAGTTGCACTGTACATAATTTTTGTATAAAGATTATCAATGCTAACTCTGAAAAGTCTGGCTTTAAGCAGACCTCAACAGTAAGGTCTGATAGGTATGGAGGCGTTGTACTGCGGTCTGGTATACAGGTGTGCAGATGTACTACACCAGTCCTAGTAGATCTGACAGTTGCTTACGCAAAAAGGAATTAGCATTAATTAACATAACTTAATGGTTTAAACATTCACAGCCAGAAATGTTCCAAATAACTTTTTTATTGTATTCTTTCCTGCAGCCTCCCCTCAGCTGCTTTCTGTAGCCATTTTATTTCAGATCCTTCATTGTTATCAAAGATAGTTTTTATAGGCATTATCATCTGAAGCAGATACCATAGGTCCATCAGATGTGGCTAGTGATTCAGAAGACATCTTCAGCCCGCAAGTCCCAAAAAAAACTTAAATGCATAGTATAAGTTGGAGTTTAGCTGAAGATTTCTTGCTGTGCTTATAGGTGTCCGAAATATCTAAATTCAGTTCCTTTCCCTGGTTTGTGTGTAATTTTATACATGAAAACTAGGCTTAGACAATCGTCTCGGAGTTAAATGAAATAAATTAGCCCAGGAATGAGAGAAATAATCCACGGTCAATGAACGATCATAAGGTGTAAAGGTTATTTCACTAGAACGCACACTACACCAATTCCTTAAGGCCTGAAAACCAAAAAACTGCTAATAATTTGCTTTATGCCGTTCAGCTCTTGGTGTCATTGAAAGCATGCTGTTTAACCCTGTGCCTTCAACAGAAATATAAAATGGACATAAACTGGAGAACGGTTGGATTCTGATATTGATAGGCAATTGTTGCATATTTAAAAGATAGTTGGAATTATGGCTAAAATATTTTCAGTATAAGGCTGAGGGCTTATGTACTGGCAACAGTGCAGGAACAATGCAGGGAACGAAACAAAAATTGGGTAGATAGGTGATGTAAAGAGAAAGTACAGAAGGTAAAGACCAGCAGCCCATATTACTGTGAAGTGCAAATGTGTTGTTGTCTAAAGCCAGCTGGTTTCAAAATAATCCAGAATAAGATAGCTGATTAAATTGTAATTTTAAGTGTTCAGGTTAGCCTGTTGAAGAGTAGCATTTCAGACATAGCCTTAGAAAGAGCGATTTAGAGTGTAGAGATGAGCTTGCGCAGGTGTGTATAGGACAGTGTGATTGTTGAGCCAGTGCCCATAAATTGTGACTGAACCGTTCTGCTTAGGTAATGCTGCAGTAACTTTGGTCTCCTGTGTCGTCCAGAAGCAAGCACTTTGTCTTCTGCAGAGGTAGTTTGAAGTTGTCAACTTTTTCTGTGCTGCCGTGAGGTGACACGTGCTTTGTTTAATGCGACTCAGTTGTGGGGAACAGTTTAGCTTCCAGGCGAGCAGCAGTAACTGCTGCAACGATTGCTAGAGCAGCGGTCTGTCTCTTTTGGGTTAGAAGAGGTGACAAGCGTAATCTTTAGAGGTAAACGCCAGAAATGAAAGTGAATGTGATAGGACAGCTCTGCGAAAAGTAATACTTGGCAGGTTTTCTGTTTGGCCAAAATAGCGTTTTTTGTCTGTCCATTGGAAATGTTTGTGAGAATTCAGTATCTTCTTCAAACAGTGAAGGCTTTTAGGTTGTGAGGGGAGGAAGCTTCATCAGGAGATGTAAAAAGTTGATCAGAATATTTTGGTTTTCAACAGCTTTTATCTGATCTTTGATCTGGGTTTGTACCTGACTGACTCTGGGAGTGGGCTGCTTTCTTTAAATGACTGCTGTTGAGATTGGTGCCCCTTCAGGAGCTTCAAGCAGAAATACTCAAGCATCGTAGGCTTTGCCAATCATCCAGGCAATTGTGGCTTCTGCCGGGACTTCATTCATCATCGTATTAACTGTACGTTGTCCCGTTGCAGACTTAACCTGTCCAGAGAGTGATCGGTTGCTCAGATGATGATGACACTGCTTTGTCCCCATGGGAAGAACAGTAGCTGCAGAGCTGGGTGGCAGGTTTTTTTCCAGCTGCTTTGGCGTCCTAGGGTTGCGGGGACAGAATTTGGAAATGCCTTTACATTTATCTGGGATGGGAATTGTGAGTTGAGTTTAGTCTCTGAGAGATGTGATGTCATGATTCCTTAGAGGGAATGGAGAAATTAAGCTGTTCCCTGCGTTCTTGAAGAGCTGCCTAACTGGTGATGTTCTTATCTTGGAAAACATTGATAGACAGAGAATGTGATAGTTTCATCTGTGCTGAGGAATAGAGAAGCCTGTGCTTGTTTCTAAATCAAGCCTATTTTTTTCCCCTCTGGCCAGTTAAGCCACAGCATTGCTTACCTGACAGTGTTAGATGCAAGTCTGAAACGAAACTGCATTCATATAGTCATGAGTCCTGTCTTTTTTAAGGGAATTTTCTGGAACACAACTTTTTACTGAACATGCAACTGAGATCATCTTGGCGTCAGCTGGGAACTGCAGTTTGCAACCTTATGTACAGAGTTTAGCATGAGTCTGTAAACCCTTCCTCCTGACAAATTTGTGAAGGTGAATAGCGAAGATGTGTCATAGCTTTGGCAAACACCACTATGCAGTATGAAGCTGTTCATTCTTTGGCGAAGGATACTCTTGCTAAAACAAGGTTTACAGATTCTTTGCCGTGGTATTAATCCTGTTCAGACAGCGAATGCAGAAAAGTTAATTAATTCACAGATGCCTTAGAAATTGAAGGATCTATTCAATATAACCATTATTTTATTATTTTTCCTATTGCAAGGTTTGGGATGCTCTTACTAGAGCAAGAGGTCCCGATCTCTTCATGAGGTACTAGATTTTGTCTGTGTACTCGGGCGAGCGTTGAGGAAAGGATCACTGTTAGTGACTGTATGAGTGTACGAGTTCTCAGGTAACAAATTAGTGGAGAACAAGGCAGCTTCTGGAACGTGGCACTGATACATCCTTTTATAGAATGGATTAGTGTTGGCTGGAGAACTGAATTTAGTGTTTGGGACTGAGTGGTGTTCAGTCTCGATGTCTGTGAAGTCTCTTAAAGTCTTGCACCTCTTAAGCACATCTAACTGTTCTAGTTGATGTGTGTGCCTTGACAAACTTAGAAGTACAAATTCTGCCGGTTTTTTGTTTGCATGTTTTGCTCAACTTTTGTATACCTCGGTTCTTCCACTGCACCCTTTCTTAGTTTTTCTCCTTATTGTGAAGCCCAGCGAGGATTTCATTCCTTAGAGTTTCAGGGGACTGCTATTAGAACCCACAGTGGTGACCTCTGAGAAGTTTGGGATTTTATTTTTTTTTGAGAGGCCAGAGGTCAAACCATATAGAAATACATCAGCCAGTTCAATTAAAATAGGTGCAATTGAGGTGCATGATGTTTGGATAAGGCTTTCTTGCTTCAGTGATGCTATAATGAATAGAAAACCTTACCGCATAAGCTTATAAAGGCAGCATGCCATTCGTGTGTATTAAGCCTCTGTGTGATTCTGC